ATTGATAAGAAATCTTCAAGTCAAGTCAAGAGACTCCAAAAAATGACGGAGTTTTAAATGTTGTTATAACTTAAGAACTTTGACGTCCTTCTCGACGGAGAAGCAGTTTTCATTCTTTCCTCTGGACTGATACGACACAACGCTTTTCTGTCTTTAATTATTTGCATATGTTGTTATGATCTAAACCTATTTCAATTTAATTTCAACTCACTGATTCATTAACTTAACCCTTAGTACTTACTTTGCCGGTATCATCTTTGTATCCGTATTTGCCTTTAACTTCACCGGCTTCAGACTTTGTCTCGATTTTGAATGACCCATCGGCGGCTTCATATCCATATGTATACGAACCGTCTTCGTTGTGCCTGAACAAGAAATAATATTGTTACATTTAATGCAATAAGGAAATTTCATACTGAATTGTATAGTGGAGATTCACGTTTGTCTTCTGTGTGGTCGTGGTTATTAGTATGACTTGTATAGAAGAGTAAATTAACTAAGAGTTACCTGTTGATCTGTTTAAGTATAGGCACAGGTGTGGAGGTGACCTTTTGCTCTGAAGCGATGTAACGCGGTGCGCGGTCCTCCGCGTACTGCGCCAACGCGCCGCACACGCTCAGTAATAACTGAAAACAAAGAAGAGAATCATCATTAAACAAAATGTACGTGTGAAGCTAGCATTATGGTACTAATGCTAGTGACACACGACGACAGAACACGCAGAAGAGTTTGACAGTAGACAGGTCATTGAACGTACACGATAGCCGAGACAAATATGTCGCCCTAGTATTCGAAGCAGTAATTGACTTATATGTCCACAAGGCTCGTTGGTCTAGGGGTATGATTTTCGCTTAGGGTGCGAGAGGTCCCGGGTTCAAATCCCGGACGAGCCCTTCTCTCTTTTGGTTACATCAAAAATAAGTTTTACTGCTCAAATTTTTTTTATTGCTTCGAATGTATTAAAACAGGCCAAATACAGCATGACTTGAAAACTCGAAATGTAATTGTGCTGTTTATTAAAATAAATTACCAACAATATTGTAACATAATTGAATTATATTATACAAGAGTTTAACAATAAACGTGACCAAAACATTTTTTACTATAAAACATCTAGTCCAATTACCAAATTGGTCAAAGTAGATATGAAATATCGCCGGCGACCTTGCGGTTGCGTACCCACGGCAATATTATATCCGCGAAAATAAACATAGCCCAAGGCAATGCCGCTAGCGTTTGTGATTAAGACTAGCGACGATGGCGCTAAAGGCAATTGAAATAACCATAATCTTAGATATTCGAATTTCATATTTAATATCCAATGTTCTGAAGGTCATGAATTGGATTACAAGTAGTAGATACTGTCGCAGAAATGAACGCTTGCAGTACATCCCTTGCACCATTTTCTTCACGCAATGATGATTTTACGTGTCAAATTTCATTTAATTACCATTCGGTTGCCGCGCTGTGGCCAGCATTGTCGGGCACGCGGGGACGCAATAAATAATAAAAAATAAAAGCGGTCAACGATCTCTAGTACGCATGAATGCTTTATTATATTAAAAAAGGTTTTAAAACACAGTACTCTAATAATTTTAATATGTACTTATTTTATTAGCACAAAGGCTTAATTAATAGTTCTTGTAATAAACTAGCTGTTCCCGTGCGGCTGCATCCGTGTGAAATTATGAAAATTCTATTTCATTGTCCACATCTGTCAAATCATCAATTACAAATGTCAAAATGACATGACCAACCTTGCTTCCTTGATGTTGGCAGCAACTTATGGTCTCTTTCCCACATTAGGGTTTTTATCCAAAATATTTACCCCCTAAGTGTAATGGCGTGAAAATATATAGCCTAAAGCGTGACGTAAATGTAGGGCTTTTTATTAAAAAAAGAGTTATTCAATAATATGCTGTAATTGCTGACATCTTAGGCAACAAAGAAGTGTGTGTTTACGCTTTATTATATTAGTATAATATAGATTTACGCTTTATTGTGTGATGGCAAAAGCTTAACTTTTATTTACTTTAGACTCTAATTGGGTTAATATAAATCGTTATCACTGAGATATAAAATACTTGAGAAGTTACCCAAGTATACACTTAAAAATTTGTAACTTAACGACAATGTTACTAGATACATTTTCTCAGGACATACTGGTTTGAAAGTAAGTCAAGGTCAATAATTATCTAACTTAAAAATAAAACGGCCTCAATAAATGTCTTAAATGTTTTTGATATATTATTTTAGACAGTTAAAAAATTGCACTAACTGTGGGAAATGTGTTACGACGTTTTACATAATTTCGATGCTTGGAGTTAAGAAAAATTGAGTAAAATACTCCGCATCATCATCCACTTGCCCTTATCCCTTATGGAGTAAAATACTCCACGACAGCTTAAAAATTCTTGAGTCTTTTACATAACATTTATTACTTCGTCCGCGTGAAATTAATACATAAAAAATAGCCTATGTTACTAACAGATTTATTAACGATTTAACGGTGAAAGAATTTTTAAAATCGTCCCAGTTCTTGAGTACTTTCAATACATACAAAAATAATGTAATTATTAATAAAATGAAACAATATGGGCGTTAAAACTTATTTACGATTTTAACATATTACTCGTATTTAAGACAAAAATTGAAGAATTTTTTTACGATCAAATATGCAATATTTGTAACTGTGACGTCATACGCTACGCCGTAGCAGTATCATCTCTACATTCCGTAGCGCTACGCTGTCTACTTCCGTCAATAACGCATGCATAAAAAATATGAAACCTCGAATGTAAATGTAGTAAATAAAATTTGCTTATTACTATTTATAGTGAGACCAAGTCTGTTCCTAGAGTGTTTGTAAGTCTATAATTCATACAAAAGGGCGTCGAATCGGAAAGTAGAAGTATTTAGAGGCCACGGTCCGGTTGCATGCCGTTCACTAACACTAGGGTGGATATGACACAGTCAGGATAATCCTGAATTCATATATTTAACTCGAAAAAAAAATATCTAAAGGCGTGAATTAAATGTGACATGACATTATGTTTAGTAAGTTCGTTAAATATTAGATTTGAAGTTTCATATCTGGCGTTTCAGAATACAAATAAAACATAACTTCGTTCATATTTAAAACAAAAACATTTTTGTTATATAGATTTTAAATTGGATGTTTTAACAATAATTTTATAATTACATTGGTTATGATATAATCTTTGAAATAACTAAAATCATGGTCACCCGAGTTTTTAATTTGCTGTCAACTTGTGGCCTCTGTATTATAAATAAAACAAAAAGGAACAACTTGTTACTGACATGTTACTTTTTTAATCGATGCAAACCTTGAAAATATCCGTATATTTGTACTGATAAAAACAACTCAATTATCTATAAGATTATATTAATATATTACAAATAGGTCACAAATAATTGTATAGTCTAGATTACTCTACAATTAAATCATCATTAATTACTAATTCAGACTTTGAAAAGTCGCAAAGTAGATCGCAGTGGAAAACAGACAAAAACCAAGTAAAGTCGAGAGATAGTTAAGAAACTATGGTTAGAGTAACATTATGCAAACATCTTTATAAATTTAGTATACAAATTCAACATGTCATTAAACTTAAGTGTCGTTAAAACATTAGTAAGGGACACGCTTAGTGTAAATTCAGTGTTATATTTCATCTACATTCACCGATAGTTTTTGTATTCAATAACAAAAAATATATCAATTCGTCGATTGAGTACCTCCTTCTTTTGGGAAGTCGGTCAATAAAATAATAAAGAGAACAATTTCTTGCCAGTATTGTCACTCTAGTGTCTGACTGCAATACTATTATCATTCTGTCCGCCTGCTGCGCCTACGCACGGACTTTACTTTGTTATCATAAATTGTATAAGACATCCTATGGATTGCTTAAGAGCGGATGTGTGATTGTCGATTGTTTTGCAGCCAATTCAACTGTTTAGGACAACTAAAAATCGAGTAGTGTGCGCTCCACATAAAGCTTATACGAATCAAAGGACGACTAAACAGTTGTGCGATAGTTTAGTTTCAGTTGTGCGGTTTTAAACACACTACTTTGTGCTAAATGTAAAGGTTAATTTTAGTCTAACGTTGCATCAAAGTTGCGGCTTGTAAAAAGAGTTCAGTAATGAAAAAAATGAATGTGATCGTCGTCGATCGTCTATTATTTTGTCGTCATTATTAATTTGCCTACTATAACTTGATTACGATAAATTAAATAGAAGTAGATAATTTTAAAATAACATTGTTTCATAACAATGGTGAAAATTATATTTTTTCCTTCTTCCGTCTTGCCCTTTGTCCAATTATTTGAGATCGGCATACCTTGTACTAAGTCTCTAGACGGCAAGATTCGCGGAGGCTTCGTCAAAGTTGAAAATTTTAATTAAAAAGAAAAATCCTTAACTGTAATTTTAAGTCTATTAATCATGTAAAATATAGTTGATTATAGTTTTCCGGTTCCGTTTGATAGATGCAACAATAAATCGTGCAATATTACACAAAAGCATTTATACGTAAGCGATTGCAACCCAGTGACCAACACTCGACACCCCGCGCACTCACCGCTGAGCCCTCAAGGCTCAAGTATGTAACCAACCGTTACAATGTGGAAATTCGCAATCACTTTCCTAATTACAATTAGAAATTAAGTAGTATAAGGGCGGACAACACATTCCAGTAAAATGGTGGCATAGCTGGCATGCCAGTTACAAGCGCAATATGTTTACACATGCCAGTAAAAAGTTCACGTATTTGTACGCGATGGGCCGCGTCAATGTCAAGTCCTATCGACCCCTTTTACACGCCCTTAACTAAAACTTATGTTGTTTGACTACTAAATTGTTTTTAAAATTGACAAATATAATAAAAATGGCATTACAATTTCATGCGGATGAAGCCGCACGGGAATAGCTAGTTTATAAAATTATATAGGAACCGTTTCTAGCACTATGTCACAAGCGTTTATATCACAGGTCATTAAGCACAACACTTTAATTAACACACACAAAGGCGACCAGTGACGTCACGTGTCACGCACACATTAACTATTAGAAAGTACAACTATTGCGGAAAATTCACTTGACTTTGCTATAAAAGGTCATTGTAATATTAAAAAAAACTAGCACATGACACAAACTTACGAAATATCTTAAAGATAAAACTATTAAAAGTGATTAATATTAAAATGTAGTAATTAAAAAATAAGAGCAATAATTTTTATTTAAATCTTTTGCCACTTTTTGGTTAAGAGATTTTTTATTTGTAAATATTTGCAAGCTACAAAAATTACATCGGAAGTGTACAATTATTAGAAAAGGTATTTCTATTTATTTGAAAATTATTACTCTATTTTTTTTGATAATATTTTGACAGTTTTATGTATTTATTTTATTAATAACACGTACCAAAGTGGCGAGCGGCGTCATGTCGTTAAATCAGAGGCGCGGCGCTTGTGCACTCCACTTTTATACTTCGCCAGAAAACCTTTCACTGGACAGCTTTATCATATTTTTTCGGCAAAGGGGATGACGATTTTATATCCTTAACAAAGTAACAATATAGACAGTTTTCAAAGTAAATAAAATGTAATCTAATAATAAAAAAATCGTTTTAATTTGAAAATCAACATTCCAGTTATAAGAAAAATAAGAGACTTTACCTTATTTCTCAAGGATCACTTCTAGCACATCCGTTATAGTAAAATAATAGTCAAAATTTTTATTATCTGTATAACAATAAGATTATCGTAAGTAGAAAATGTTAGGCAATTTTATAAGTAGGGTTTGATATCGAATTTTTTACGATTTTAAGTTCGCAACTTATCACAGCTTTCACTACTCTTTGTGCTTTATTACAACGAATTGCGTATAAAATATTTTTATTATACTATTTGATGATTATTTAAAGTACCAATAAAGCAAAAGTTATTGCAAACTTCAACAATTTAACGACCAGAATTCGTTAATATCTTTTGAAATAGACCTACAATTGATCTCTATTTCCATGTATTGATATTTTAAGATTAAGATAGTACAAAACTTAGTGCCTGTCCCACCACTGGCTGATAGAGGCTCAGATAGATTGAAAAAGTCATTGTCTCCCAAATTAGAATAAAACCACAAGCACTTGACGCTGGCCAAATTCGCTAAGGGAGAGCCATAAACAAGAAATAGAATAGCTTAAAAATGACGTCACTATAAGGTAACAAAATCCGATATTTCCATCACATATTTTACACGTTGGATTGTTATCAGACAATTTACAATTTGGTGAGACAGGCCCTTTAAAAATCCATATTTTAATTGATGCACTCTTTCATCACCTACAAAAGAGTTGCGTCGTCATTTGTTTTCGCTGCTAGACTTAAAGCGGGCGCACATCTTTGACTGAACTATCGCACAACTTTTGTGCGATTGTCGATTGTTTCGCAGCCAATTCAACTGTTTAGTTGCACAACTAATCGAGTAGAGTGCGCACGTATATACAAAGGAATAGGAATCAAAGCGAGACTCAACGATACTTTAATCAAATGTATGCGCGCGATGTTAGGGTTTATATTTCTCTTATTTATCTTTTGAGATTTGAAATCTATAATTACTGAATTTGGTTGATTTGATTCTTTTGTTTTTTCGCGTTTATTACAATTTTATTAACAAATAAAATAATGGTAATTGAATTGAAAGTTGATACAGTTCAAATGATTATTTTTAAGATAGAAAGTGTCCATTATGTTGTATGTATAATGTATAAAGTCGAGCAAACGGCTATCGAAATGAATACACAATGCGTTGTATACGAGGCGAGGTATACCTTAGGTCGCCTAGGAAACAACGCGACCTAGATTGTAGACCGATTAGTATTTTTTAATTATATAGCAATTAATATTTAGAACGTTATATTGGCTTTATTATGTTTGATACTTCAAATCTTGAGAAACGGTGAAACTCGCTGGACATTATTATAAAACAATCTAAAATGTTGTAAAGATCGACATTGGTTTGGGTCGAATAATTTAACTTGCACAGTGGTAGTGCCCGCTTTTAACATCTTAGCACTGCAGGGCCGACACGCCCCCAATAATACCACGACCACACAGAAGACAGGCGTGAAATGGAAGCAATACCGTGTTTCGTCTGCTGAATGTGGTGCCGGAGGCCTAATTTAAGTCCCTTTCTCTTTACCGCCCTTTTCTTATAAGGAGAGGATGCGAAGGGGAAGTGGATTTGAAGGTGAAGGAGATGCATAGGAAGGGGGAAATATCCTCTTTATGTGCGTCTTCTCCTCCGTCAATGAAGGGTAGGCAACGCATCTGCAATTGCGGATGTCTATGGGCAGCGGTCGCTTCGCCATTTTGGCGGATTCAGGTGGCCAATTGCTCGTTTGCCACCTTTTATAATAAAAAATCATAATTATAAAGAAACTTATAATTTAATTTATACATAAAGTGTAATATTACAAGGTATTCGAATAGAGTGGCTCGTTGTACTCTGGCCCAACACAACGTGTATAGTTTGTCTAAATAAGTTAGATTAGTTTGACAATTCATTTCAAATTTAGTAGGGATGGCTTGTGTAAAATCAGTCATGAATCTTATCGATTTTCGATTTTTATTCTTATAGAAGTTAGAATCGATAGATTTATAGTTAACTTATGAATTAAAAAAACACTGTTTTATCAAATTAATAATGACCATAACAAATAATGAGAGTAAACAAATGTTTATTACTACTACAGCCGTAGGTAATCGAATTGGATTTCGCTATTATTTCTGTCATCGCTAAATTCTCTACACTATAATCAAAACTAGCATTGTCCTCTAAATTAGTTAATAAGAAAATAATAATTTTAGTTGAGTTCGATAATTATTTAAACCGAATATCGATAGTACAAAATTGTTCGCTATGCGAGTTTGTTTCGTCATTACGATACCTGTCTATTAAGTACGGCATTTGCCTTCATACAAATTGAATTCGATACTTCATATGCGTCATTTATAAAAATAATGTATCTTATTTAGACAAACTATAACTGGAATGTTCGCAGTGTAACATGTTACATGACATCGTAACGTTAGTACCCACCCTTTTTTTTTCACGCTGGGAAAATGCATTTACGCATCCCCCCCCCCC